AATAAAATGATAAAGGACACCCGGGGAAGCTCTGGCTGGCGCAGACGGCTCCCCGCAGAGCTGGCCAGTTGTTTTGTTTTGGTTGGTAATGAATCAAGGGGCGTGGCTCCCCAGCCTTTTTTAGGCAGCAGGAAAAACTGGGTGAAAGGTCTTGATAGCTTGGGCCATGTTTCCAGAATCCTCTGCTATTTCTTGAGAAACTTCAAACCTTAAAAGTAGACGCCAAGGCCATTTCCTAGGGTGTGATAGTGTGGAAGCTGGAGGGACCTTCGGACTGGGAGAAAGTCCTCAGTTGAAGGACAGAGGTCCCTGTTCGCAGTGTGGGGGAACAGCTGTCTCCCCCAACCGGGTCACACCCCACTGTTCTGCAGCAGGGTTTGAGGTGCAGGTGTGGGACCGAGCTCCGTGGGTCCAACCGTGACCTTGAGTGCCTCTGATGTGGGAACTGTGTGGACCCATTTTTATCCTCATGGCTGGGCATCATGTTCTTGATACCGTGGGCCAGATTTAGAATGAAATATATTTTTTGGATTTCGTAAACTTGCTTGGAGAAGTAATTATTATTATTTTTTTAAATCCTCACCTGAGGATATTTTTCCATTGATTTTTAGATGGAGTGGAAGGGAAGGAGGGAGAGAAAGAGCGAAACATCAATGTGAGAGAGAGATAGTGATTGGTTGCCTCCCGCATGACCCCCACCAGGGCCCAGGATCAAACCTGCAACCAAGTACGTGCCCTTGACTGGTAATAGAACCTGCAGACCAGGCTGACGCTCTAACCGCTGAGCCAAACCGGCCAGGGCTGGAAAAGTAATTCTTGAGTCTGCACCTTGCCTCTTGGAGGCCTGGCCCAGGAGTAACATGGCAGCACTGTGGGAATACTCACTGCCGCTGGAGACACTATGCAGAGGGCCAGGGGGCTCCAGAAAGCAGGGGAGACCCCGACACCTGGGAGAGACCTCAGATTGCAGATCTGACTCAGCTCTGCATCTCCGGACTACGACTCTGCATTTTACGGGGCTTTGGGAACAGCCAAGTTTCATACTTGTGGCTGTTAAACACCCCTGGCAAAGGATGTCTCAGACACAGGAATCAAGACCAGAGTCGAAGGGAGCTGCCCACAGACACACATTAGCTGCAGAATTGGGACCACAGCTGCTATATCCTGAGTCTTAATCTGAAGCTCCATTTATTCGGGGTTCCCTGTGGATATTGGGGTGTCAGGATCATGGGTTATTCACACATGGCGTCGTGCAAATAGCACAGGTGATTATAAAAGACAGGATACATTTAGTTTCCGATTGTAACGTTTCCTCTCCTATTTAAAAGGAGACTTCATGGAGCAATAACAGCTCTGTTGATGGGTGCGCACAAACCGGGTTGTTATGTTAATTGTAATTCCTAGGCCAACCACGAAGACAGTAACAACAAAAATAATAATAGAAACTATATAATAAAATAGACTATAAGGAAATTAGAACGGTATTCTGGAAAATCTCTATTTGCGGGCCCTGTGCTAGGAGGAGCTGGGAGCCACAGGTGCCCGAGAGGTCGGTAGGTCCCTGTCTCCGTGTAGTCGGGTTCAGTCCAGCAGTGGCCAAAGCTGGCACGTGATGACACGTGCCGCACGGTGTGGTAACACGCGCTCTGACGGATGCACCGGGCGGAGCCCACGCTCTCCCGAGACCTGGAGGATGAGAAGCCTTGCGAAGGGGCCGCCTGGCAGAGGGACGGCAGCTCCGAGGTCTCAAGGGGGGAGAGCTTTTGGTTTCTGGAACCGACTGGGGCCAGGGTGGCTGGCGCTGGGCCTTGCCTCGGGGGGCGGCATGCAGATGAGGCTGGGCAGTCGGGACTTCACATGATTAAAGGACTCGAAGCCAGGGGGCAACATAAAACGACGTCTTTTAAACACGTTGACTGGGCTGCAGCGTGAGCGCGCTGGGGGCGTGCCCTGCGCGGGCAGTGCGCCGAGGGGGCGTGTCCTGCACCGAGGGGGCGTGCCCTGCGCGGGCAGTGCGCCGAGGGGGCGTGCCCTGCACCGAGGGGGCGTGCCCTGCGCGGACAGTGCGCCGAGGGGGCGTGCCCTGCGCCGAGGGGGCGTGCCCTGCGCGGGCAGTGCGCCGAGGGGGCTGTCCTGCACCGAGGGGGCGTGCCCTGCGCGGGCAGTGCGCCGAGGGGGCGTGTCCTGCACCGAGGGGGCGTGCCCTGCGCGGACAGTGCGCCTAGGGGGCGTGCCCTGCGCCGAGGGGGCGTGCCCTGCGCGGGCAGTGCGCCGAGGGGGCTGTCCTGCACCGAGGGGGCGTGCCCTGCGCGGGCAGTGTGACCTGGGGGCGGAGTCACAGCCCCTCTGGAAGGCAGGGCCTGGGCATTGATCGATTGGATGGGTGGGAGGTATGAGGTACGAGGCAGAGAACAGCTCCCAAGTCCAGGCTTTAGTGTCTGGTGGGTAAAGGTGTTTTCCCGAGACAGGGTCTAAGGAGGGCCAGGTTTTCCAGGAAAATCAAGAATTCAATTTCATATTGTTTAAAAATTTTTTTTTCTTTATTGATTTTAGAGAGGAAGGGAGGAGATAGAAACATCGACTGGCCGCCTCCTGCATGCCCCCCACTGGGGCATGTGCCCTGACGGAATCGAACCGGCGACCTCTTGGTGCGGGACTCAACCACTGAGCTATGCTGGCCCGGCTCATATTAAGCCTGAGGCGCCTTTAAGACAGAGACAAGGTAAGTCTGAAGCCCGAGGTCAGGGTGGGAGGTTCCAGTTTCGGCCGTCAGGTGGCAAGGTAGTGAGCGCTGGGTGCCTGGATCAAGTGAGGAAGGGTGCGGACAGGAGGAGATGCATTGGAGGAAACCGAGGCTGACAGAGGGAGACCAGCCGGGCGGTGGTGTCGTGGAAACAGGCTTACCAAAGAATAGCAGTGGCCTGCCTAAAATGCTACTGAAGGGCCAAGAAAGAAACCAGGAAACACCTCCAGTATTTGGTGACACGGGGGCGGGGGCAGTTCCGGTGGGAGCACCCGGTGACACGGTGGGGAGGTGTGTGGACTCGGGAGGGTAGGAGAGGACGGGCAATTCAGTTTTAGCAAAATTTCATCATGTTCATGTAAATGTGTGTCATCTGCATGTATGAGGAGCTGCGGAGTTCTGAATGTATACCTACTTTTATATTTGCGCTTCATGTATTTGAATAAACTTGAGTGCACCTAGGTGCCACCAAGAAAAAACGACCTTTTATGTCACAGTGCTTTGTCACGGATTTTAGATTTGTCATTGATTTCAAAAATGTTAAGATGTAAAAAAAAGTACCAGAAGGGATGATACAGTATTAAATAACGAAACATTTAGGTCAAACCTGGCAGTTGCAAGAATGTCTTCAGAGGTCCGATCATACACTAGCATGGCAGACACAATGCATTTGGTTGTCGGCCTTGACGGATCACTAACCTGGCGAAGGCTGTCTCCTCACGTCCCCTTCTTCCCAGGGTGAAGGTGAGCGAACCCGACACTAGGGCACAGCAGGTCCCACTGACCCCTCCCACCGCCATCCAGGGGTACTGAGCGCCCCACCCCAGAAAGTCCTGAGCGGCAGCACCACACTCGGAACCAGAACCGGAAGGGGCTCGCTCAGTCCATCAGGTGAGTGGATCAGCTGTCTGGGGGGTGGGATCATGCCCGCCCTGTGGTGTCTCCAGGGTTCGAGGTCAGATGCAGGCTCTGCAGGGTGCAGATCTGTGTGTTCGTGGCACTCAGAAGTGTCTAGCACCGCAGATGCTCAAAAACATGCAATGGTGGGCAAACGACACCAGCTAAGGATGCGTGGCACCACCGACGGAGGCCGCCCGAAGGCCCACGCCGTGTCCCTGGACTTCCTTCCAGAGCGGGTGAGTCTCACGGCCAGTGACCTCGGATGGAAAAGGCTGACGAGTGAGCGGGGCCCCCACGCCCGAGCAGTGCTGCTGGCCGCCAGGCCTGAGAGTTACCCTGGAAACAAGTGATGACGCTGTACTGTCAGACGCTATCCTGTCTGAAAAGCGAGTGTTTGCCTGACCATGGCTCAGTGGCTGAGTGCCGACCCATGCAGCAAAAGGTCACCAGTTTGATTTCTGGTCAGGGCACATGCCCGGTTGTGGGCTCAATCCCCGGTAAGAAGCATGCGGGAGGCAGCCCATCAATGTTTCTATATCTGTCTCCCCCTCTCATATATATATATGTATATAAAAATAGATAAATAAAGTATTTGGTTGTCTCCCAAGGCTCAAACTTCACCCTGGAATGATGAGACAACCATACTTAAACGATCCAAAATAAAGGCATATTCCAAAAACAATTTTTCATTAACAAATTAATTACAAGGCAAAATTATATTTTATTAATAGTAACGTTCCCTGAATGTTAGAAACGGCCCTATGGAATCTAGCTGGGCGGGGGTGCCAGGTAAACACACTGCTGGACTAGAGCTGACACAGTGGAGGGGCACCCCCCTCCTCGCCGCGCCCGCAGAAGGCTCATGGAGCCCCACACTGGGCAGGCCCCCAGCCTCCCCACCACTGCAGGCCTGGGGATGGTGACAGGCACATCTCCCTCCTAAACCAAACCCTCCTGCCACGGGGTGTCAAGGGCAGCCCAGGGACTACAGCCAATCATGTTCCGGTAACTGCAGTGTCGGGTGGGTGTAAGACTTATCGGGGAGATCACTTGGCAAGTTATATACTGCTAATCCCTGGGGTGTGCACCTGAAGCTAATATAACGACGTTAACTGTAAATGAGAAAAACGAAACCAACCAGCCGCTGTGCCATGGACGTCCAGCCACGCTGCAGGAGGAGCAGTGCGCGTCTCCTCAAGCACCGAGCGGGCAGCAGGATGGCGGGGCCGCTGAGGGTGGACGCAAGGCCACTCTGCTTTAGTGGACAGAGGCCACCCCGACTCTCCCGCTCCACCCCCCCCGGCCCCGGGAGCCCCGAGCCTTCCTCTTCAGGAGCCACGCCGAGGGACGCGCGGGGTTAACGTTGCGGCTATTTTATTTACAAGTATACATTGAACACAATGAAATAAACACTGATATATGGAAGCCTAGTTAATAGTAGTGTAACAATATGCATCTTTTGATGATTACATTATTTTAAACAACAAACTACACTTAAAAATTAATGCCGATAAAATTCTTGGTCATAATATTAAGAAATACAATATATAAATTGAAATATGATTGCTTAAAGAAAGTGGAAGTGAGCTCAGGTGGACAGAGTCGGAGTTCAACATAATCTGAAGGGTGGGCGGGTGGGCAGACGCTCTGACCCGAAGGAAGCCTTCCCGGGAACAGAAGAAAACGAAGCAGTTCATCTTCCAGGAGGACGCAGCCGCCCCCCGCAGGCTGGCTCCCAGTGTCCTCGGCCCAGGGGCTCACATCACCGAGCAGGAAGACTTGCCTTGTGAAGCGGCCCCATCAATTTTTTCTGCCTCCAAAATTATCCTCCGAAATACGTCAACAGCAGTCTGAAAAGAAAGCACCGCGCCCTGTCGCTTTCCAGCGGAAGCCTGAGAAACCCCCTGCCGTGGCCCCGCCCACTCCAGCTCTCACCCTCCCCTGGTGCCCCGGTCTCCACGTCCAGTATCAGCACCCCCACCCCCAGGACTCTCATTCCCTCCGGACACTCCTTCCCGGGGCTGCTGCCTCTCTCACCCAGCACCACGGGCCTCGGGCGGACAGCCGCTTCTCCCTGCCTCTCCTCCGGACCAAACCCGTCCACTTTCTTAAAACTCTCTGTGCTGGGCGTTGACTCTTACGCCTTGACAGGCATCACCTTGGAGCCTGGCTCTTCCCAGCCTCCTTCCAGAGTGGGGCAGTGTCTGCAGCCTGCCTCAGCCTCCCAGCCCGTCCCAGGAGGAGCGCCACCATTCTGCACAGCAAATCCTCTCATGCTGACCGACGTCAACACAGTCAGTCCCCGTCCTTCAAATGTGCTTACTGTGCCCTGGCCAGTTTGGCTCAGCGGTTAGAGTGTCGGTCCACAGACCAATGACTCGCTGGTTCGATTCTGGCCAAGGGCATGCATGTACCTCGGTTGTGGTTCGTCCCTGACCAGGTCATGGGGGAGGCAGCCATTTGATGTGTCTCTCCCACATTGGTGTTTCTCTCTCTTTCTCTCTCTCTCTCTCTCCCTCCCTCCCACTCTATCTGAAGATAAATAGAAAAATATCCTCGGGTGAGGATTGAAAAAACAAAACATAAAAAAGAAAAGTGCTCGTTTGATAATAAAGAACAGTTCTCGCCCTGGCTGGTTTGGCCCAGCGGTTGGAGCGTTGGCCTGTGGTCCAGAGAGACCCGGGTTCGGTTCCCGCTAAGGGCATGTACCTTGGTTGCAGTTTGTCCCCGGCCCTGGTTGGTTGTGCGGGTGGCAGCCACTCGATGTGTCCCTTTCACGTTGATGTTTCTCTCCCTCCCTCCCTCCCACTCTATCTGAACAAAATAACAAAAAACAAGAACAGTTCTCAAACGCCTCTGGGGCAGTCCTAGATCTTGTCATCACCAACCACCACCCAGGGGCAAGTCTCCCCGCCCCCCCCCGCCCCCCCCTCCCCCCCGCTCACTTTCAGTAGCCCGGACCTGACAATTCTCAGCTCAGAGACCTGCCTCCTTGATCGGACCCCCTTTTCCTGTCTCCTAACCACTTCTCGCTCATTTCCTCCCGGGCCAGCGGAGTCCACGGCCCACCATCGCGGCCAGGTGCTCGAACTCCCTTCTCCGCCAGCCGCGCCCACAGTGCTCGCAGCCCGGGGACGTGCTGCCCCGGGCTCACCTCACCCCAGGACCCCCGGTGCCAGCCAGCGGCCCAGCTCCTGTCCCTCGTCTAGGCAACCCCCAGACGAAGGTTCTGTGCCCCTCTCCCTTTCACTGGGACTTCTAAGCCGCCCTCCCACCCCTGGTGGTCACTGTACTTCACAGAACTGACACTCAAGAGAACTCCACGCACCCTGCCCACCGAACTGACCGTGCCCTGGAGTCTGGCCACCTCCTCCGGTGACTCTCCTGACCAAGCCCAGCCCCGGGCACTGGCTGAGCAGTCCTCCCTCTCTCCACATCACTGATCTCCCACTCGTCCCAGCTGCACAAACAAGTCACTTATTTCATCCTGAATGTGATGCACAGAAAAATGTTTGGAATGACACGTACCAAACTCCTCCCAATAAAAGAGTGTGCCCGAGGCTTTCTGGATAACCTGTGTGATCTGACTCTGTCAAAGTACATTCTCTTTCATCAAATTGCTGAGACAGCTGCAGGCCTCCACAGTAAATACACCGAACTGCAAACACCCATACTTCCTCAGGGGTCAAGAGGCAGCATTCACACTCAGTTATTTTCCTACTGTGCATGTTATCAATGAAAACGAACTCTGCTGAAGAGAGTTTTAAAATATTAGATTTTAGTAAGTACTACAAATTACAAACAGGCTATACTTACCAATAAAAATTTTAAGCAATCTAGTATGTGTGTGGATTAGAATCTCCCAGCTCTAGGTCAGGGCTTAGAATCACCCGGTGTCCCCCCACCTGGCCTGGCTGAGGCCCCTGATCACCTCCAGCACACTCAGGGGTGTGAGCAGCAGTGTCCCATGACACGGCAGCCATCGGGGAGCATCCAGGCGCCTGTGAGGGCCTGACCAGACCTGCGCCCAAGGACACGCATCTGCTGCACGCGCCTGGCTGGGGCTACTCTCTCTGCTTTACAGGACTCATTCAGCCCGGCCGGTGCTCGAGCAGACCCAGACGACAAGCGTCGGGGCCTCTGGCCTCTGAGCGGGTCTGCCGGAGTCTTCAGCATCACTCACCTTTTTTTTTCTTTATTGATTTTAGGGAGAGAGAAAGTGAGAAAGACAGAAACATCGATGAGAGAGAACATCGATCGGCTGCCTCCTGCATGCCCCACACTGGGAATAGAACTGGGACCTCTCAGTCCATGGGACAACGCTCAATCCACTGAGCCACACCAGCCAATATATGTTCATGAAGGTAGTATTTCCTTTACTATCAATTTCTGTTTCTCTTACAAGTGTTCCAGGTCCCACTATAAGCAGAACTCTGGCTGAATTAAAACATAAATGGTGTCTTCTTGGGGCAACCCAGAGAGGAATGGTGGAAGGTTCCAGACTGACCAGGGGTGATGACGACAGTGCTGAACTGTGGGCTAAGAGGGACACAGGTCTGTGACTGATGGGATGTGGTGCAAAGTCAGTTCTTTATCTATCTATCTATCTATCTATCGCCTCACCCGAGGACATTTTTCCACCTTTTATTCAGATAGAGCGGGAGGGAGAGAGAGGAAGAGAGAGAGAAACATCGATGTGAAAGGGACACACCGAGTGGCCGCCACCTGCACAACCCAACCAGGGCCGGGGACAAACTGCAGCCAAGGTACTGCCCTTAGCGGGAACCGAACCTGGGTCTCTCCGGACCGCAGGCTGACACTCTGACCGCTGAGCCACACTGGCCAGGGCAGTTTTATTTATTTTTCAACCGTCACTCGAGCACATTTTTCCATTTATATTCAGATAGAGTGGGAGAAAGAAAAAGAGAGAGAAAGAGAGAGAGAGGAAGAGAGAAACCTCAACTTGAGAGGGACACATCGATTGGTTGCTTCCTGCACAACCCAACCAGGGCCAGGGGACAAACCGCAACTTAGGTATATGTCCTTGACTGGAATCGAACCCATGACTCATTGGTCCGCGGGTCGACGTTCTAACCTCTGAGCCAAACCGGTCAGGGCCAAAATGAGTTTTAAACAATACCTACTTGATTCTCTTTAGCAGAAGATTCCAAAAAGGCTGCATTCCAAGATTCTGCTAACGCCTTCCCTTCTTCGTAACTGATCACCCTAAAGGAAAGAAAACATTCTTGTTAAAGAACTTGGCTCTTTACTGTTATACGGACCATCTAGGTGACTTTCTGAAACAGGCCCGCTTTTACAGGGCTGCAGATGTGTGTTCACTCGGTGCCACGGCCCTGGTGCCACACAGGCGACTCGACTCTATTTCCTCACTGTACAGCCCCATCAGTGCTCACAGCCCACGGGTCCGCTCCGAATCAGCCCTGTGCCCCAGCAGCCCCACGACGCAGAGAACCACCTGTCCTCCCCCTGCTGGGGGCGGGCTGCAGGGTGGGGCCCAGGCTCTAACCCAACCCCGCACTCCAGACATGGTTTGTTGACCAAACGAATGCTACCACTGTCTTTGAGAGTCTGCTCTGCACAGGATGGCTGCTCTCTCTCCTGCTGAGGAACACCTGTCGGGCAGGTGACAGTCTGCTCCTGCCAAGCACCAGCGCGGCCACGTTTGAGCCCTGACAGACGTGCCCGTGAACACTCCTGCCACCAGGACAAGGAAACGGGGGCTCAGTGACCGCACCGTCCTAGAAGCAGTTTGGGAAATGAGCGACTATCGAGAAGCCACGTACCTCTCCATGTGCAGGTCCTTCTTATTCCCAACCAGCATGATGGGTATCCTGTTGTTACAGGGAGAAAGGCAGAGCCGTCAGTGCCAGGCCTTCCAGAGCAGCTCTGAGAACCAGTGTCTAATAGGAGACAAGGGCCTACTTACTGCACTTTCCCCACCATGTCCAACAATTTGCCGTGGATAACTTTGATCACCTCAAAACTATAAAAGAAAAGTATGAAACCAGACATCCAATTTAGTGCTCGTTTTTTTCATATGTTTATCAGGTAGTCTTAGTGAGACAAACAGAAATGCCACAGATTCACCGTTTAATATAAAAGAAAACAAACACAGAGAATTCCTTTATCTTCCTACCAGTATTTCACGTGTACATGTATTTGACACTCAGAAACCCTGGTTAAGAACATTAAAACGGAACAGGCCTGACATTTAACGGAGAAAGTCTCACGACTGCCGAACCACGAGCAGACGTGAAGCCCTGAACACACACTGGCAGAAGGCTCGCCCCTGTCCCCCCGGCAGTCAGCCCGGGCCCCGCGGGAGCACAGGACAAGCCACGCACTCCCCACTGCAGTGAGCAGACGAGCTCAGGCTGGGCTCTGTCACTATCTGTCTAGAACACCTCTCAGGAAATTCCCCCTTCACAACCTGTTCACTCCACAAAACATTTAGCTTAGTAATTAAGTCTAATCATCACTACTACCAATTCCAGCATAATTCTTTATAAGGATTAATGCCATCTCTGCATAACAAACTCACGCAAGGAAGGAGCTGAATCTTACCTTTTGATTGATGTAACTGAATACACAAGAATATAACCATTAATATCAATGGAGTACGTCTGAGGAAAGATGGAGTATTCATCCTGTGGGAGAAAAAGGGTTGCATTTGGCATAACAATCAATCTTCACCCAAAGTTCTTCACATATTTCCTGGTCAAAGAAATCAACATAAACAAAAAGTGGACTACATTATTATTCTACAAACAGCCTACACACTCAAGATTTATTTGAGACTGGTTTGGGGGGGGGGGGTGATGTGCTTTAAGCCAATATTCATTCAAACGTGACTCTGGCTACTCTCAAACTTTTGGAAAGGCTGACGACCTCTGTAAAGCCTGGGAGAAGAGGCTGTAAGGAATGAAAATGATTGGCTCATGACCTCTTTTACGGATGAAAAGTCCAGAATCTCTTAGACCTCACAGAAAACTCACAAGTCTACTAGTTTATTCCTTAAACCTGTATTTTCCTATGTAAACTTGTTGCATTATCACTTGACTTGATTTCTGCATGTGAGTCACAGTGGCCTGAGTACAAGAGAGAGAGGAAGGAGAGAAGACAATTGAGACAGTACCCTCAATCAGAGGATGAAATGAGTTAATTGAGCAACTTTAGGAATTAAAGACAAAGGTACACATTATGCAACAGCGTGTCAGTTTGGTTTCATAAGGCTTGATGAAACTCTGCTACAGACCCGGAACCACCAAAGCGCAGAGGTTCCGATGTCATGCACACCACTGCCTGGCACAAGCGCTTCATCCTCAGTGGAGATGTGACTGTCCACAAACCACATGCCAAGCACTGTTATGGAAAAGTCATGGCAAGCCACTATTATATCAAGTAACTGTCCTTGTTAGCTTTGCAATTCCATAGTATGGTTATAACCAGTGTTCTTGATGACCTTGAATTACTGCTCTATGGTCAAGTGTCTTTTAAAAACAAAAAGAAACATTTAGCTCTCCTATCAACTCTCTGATATCCCAAATAGTGGTCACCGATCAGAAAATAGCATTTCTACATCAGAGTTTACTACCTAAGCTAAATAAAACTTTTTTTGTTTTCATTATTAGTACAACTTTTACTAAGTTGAATTTACATTTTGGTGTCGATTTCTAAAAACAAATTGTTAATGGAATGTCAGATCTTTCTACCCAGATTAAAAACAAAATTCTAAACAATTTTAGTCACCAGCTTGGCTACAGTGACTCCAAAGTTCAGACTGCTTGCCCGATGTGGAAACACAGACGAGTAACCCTACTTGGGAGCGTGGTGCAACAGTTAGAAAGTATAATGGAGGAAGAAGACCTTCAGCTGTGGCAGCACCAAAAAGGACAAAATTCCTAGGGATAAACCGAAGGAAACGAAAATACATGATTCATTTGAAGAAAATCTTAAAATACTCCCGAGAGAGAAAAGAAATAAATGGAACAGCATGGCAAGAACATGCAGAACCACAGGATTCCATTTATTAACCCTAAATGAATACTTTTTTTTGGTTAATCCTCACTCACATTTTTTCCATTGATTTCTAGAGAGAATGGAAGGGAGGGGTGGGGAAAGGGGGAGAAAAAAAGAAAGAGAGAAACATTGATATGAGAGAGACACACTGATTGGCTGCCTCCCGAACATGCCCTGACCACAGCCTGGGAAATGAACCTGTAACCCAGGTACATCCCCTTGGCCAGGAATCGAACCCACAAGCCTCCGGTGCTCGGGCCCACACTCTAACCGCTGAGCCACACCGGCCAGGGCGCTCGATGCACACTTTCTGGCAAAGAAAACCACTGTGGAGGTGGGTGCCTGGGAACCTGGCGCCCCGGAACTAAAGCAGCACGGCACTGGCTCCGGGTGGAGCCAAGCAGGGATGGGAATCAGGTGCACGATAACCTTGGCATTTCAGATCAGCAAGGATGCAAAGGACACGCAGGGACAGACGCAGGGCCACCCGGGGGGACGGCCAAGCGGGGTCTGTAACTCACGCCTCGCAGACACGTATCCGGAGGAATCAGACTTAGAGGTGAAAACTGAACGGTGCACAGTGCACGGGAGAATTTAAACGAAAACCGTGCCGCTCAGCTCATATACAAATGCTGACTTTCTTCCAAAGACCAACCCCTAACAGAAAAAGGAGAAAGTACATGAACAGACAGGACAGGTCACAGAAAAAGAAAGAAGGACGTCCTCAAACATGGGAAAATGTGATCCAACTCCTTCATAAGAAAACACTAATTAAAACAACACAGATACTAATTTTCACCTAGCAGATGGGTAGATATCAAACAATTCGGTAACACACTGTGCTGGTGACTCACTGCTGGTGAGAATGCAAACCGTGGCCCTCCGGCCCAGCGAGCCCACACCAGGCATGTTCTCACACGCACCATCTGTCTGCAGTGACGCAGGGTGTGACGGCGGCCCCGATGGCAGGGGAGACGGGCAACAGCCCAGTCAAGGCCGGTAGTTAAACGATATAGCCCGAACGAGACATTCTTCAGCCATGGGGAGAAAAGAGAGGCACATGGACTGATATGGAATAATCTTCAAGGAGACATAGAGCTATGTATCTTTTTAGGAAAAAAACAAACTAAAAACAAACCTTAGAACTATACTTGGCATGTGATGTATAAGTATCTTGGAAGCGTGGACTTGAAACTGACAAGGGGGTTGCTGTTGGGGGTCAGAGCTCAGGTAGCCAACATGGGAAAGACTTCACTTTTCCCTTCTGTGCTGCTTTATATCTGTGACGTGCATTTATCAACATTTAAAAAGAATAAATGCTTGGCTCAGCGGTTAGAGCGTCGGCCTGCGGTCCCGAGAGACTGGGTTCGGTTCCCGCTAAGGGCACGTGCCTCGGGTTGCAATTTGTCCCCGGCCCTGGTTGGGTCGTGCGGGTGGCAGCCACTCCATGTGTCCCTTTCACGTCGATGTTTCTCTTTCTTCCTCTCTCTCCCTCCCACTGTATCTGAACAAAAACATGGAAAAAAAAAAATACTTTTTTTTTGAAGAGGAATTTGACTCACTTGTCATTGAATCTACTGAAATTAGACCAAAACAAAATATTCACACAAACTAAAAATGTAACTTGAACGTAACTGTTCGCCAGCAGCCCTCGCTGGGCAGCTGACCCGCTATGACACAGACCACCAGTAGCGAGTACCTGCTGCCACGTATCACTCTGCAGCAACTGGGTACGTACGATGAGTTCTCCTCCTCAAATGTGCAAGCTAGTGAACAAACCAAGTAGGCTGCTTTGAAAGATCTTGCCCCTACTCACCTCTCCTTCTGAGCAGTCTTAACCCCAGAACCAGCCCTGGAGCGGGAATTTAGATGCCACCCTCCCCCATTCCTGCAGAACCGGGGTGAGCTGCAGCCGAGGTGAGTGTCCGTGTCACACCCAGTGAGTGGTAAATACGGGCACAACCTTTTATCTTCTGGTCTCCTAACTGTGAATAGCCTTTAAGAACTGGTAGCTGCAGTGAGAACACATTATTCCAAATAGCTAAATTTGGATATATTTTGTGCAAAAATTCTCTAAATATTCTTATCTGGCAGCAACAGAACCCAAAACAGCCAGACAAGCAGAGCTGGAAATGGACCGCTCTGGCCTCCCTCGCTCCTCCACTCACTCCCGCGAGCTGGTCCTTCTGGGGCCTTTCTTTGTAACTTTGATTAAATAGTTACGGGAGTGTAATGGCCAAGAGGACACGGGACCCACCTTCCCAGTGATCAGGAGTCAATACAGACATGTTCGCTCCAGGCACATGTCTGTGAGGACAGCTCTCCGAGCAGGAGACACCTGCGTTTCTCCACGCCAGCTGTGAACATCAATGGAGCTGCAACGCAAGCCGTTGCTCCAGCCTCAGTAGCATCAAAGATCCACAAATAAGGATCAAGTCCTCTTCAAGCTCACAAGTCTCCTCTAAACCCCACAACAACGCTGTGCAGGCACGCACAGCCACCACCTTCTTACAGAGGGAAGAGCTGAGACTCAGAAAAGTTCACTCACTTGCTCAGGGTCACTGGCTCGTAAGAAGCGAGACGGAAACCAGGAACTGCAACCGCAGAGCCCATACTCCAAACACCCACGAGGTGCTGGCTCTCCCGCCGACCACAAAATGTGTTTCCACAGTGACAGCACATAGACGTGACTGATCAATTTATATCCTCACCCCACTTCCCACGAGCTTAATGAAAACTCAACCCAAGATAGCAAGGAAGCCCTGGCCAGGTGGCTCAGATAATTGGAGCATCGTCCTGTACACCAAAAGGTTGAGGGTTCAATTCCTGATGGGGACATGTACAGGAGGCAATTGAATGATGTGTCTCTTTCTCCCTTCCTAAAGAATCAATAGAAACATATTTTCGGGTGAGGATTTAAAAAAAAAAAAAAAAAGGTATAAAGGCAAACCCAAAACGTGATGATGCCAGCCCTATTATAAACAGCATGGCCATAGTTCTTTGCCTAGGACTCTGTTATACCTGTTGATGCAGTATAATTATATCTGTGCCCTTTACTCTTTATTTTTTATTTTTTTTAATTATTTTTTTTTGTATCCTCATTCAAGGACATTTTTCCATTTTTTTGTACAGACAGAGTGGGAGGGAGAGAGAGGAAGAGAGAGAGAGAGGGAAACATCGATGTGAAAGGGACACATCGAGTGGCTGCCACCCGCACAACCAACCAGGGCCCCCGGGGACAAACTGCAACCGAGGTACACGCCCTTAGCGGGAACCGAACCCGGGTCTCTCCGGACCGCAGGCGGATGCTCTAACCGCTGAGCCAAACCGGCCAGGGCTTCTTTTATTTTTTTAATCTTTAACCTGAGAATAGTTTTCCATTTATCTTCAGATAGAGTAGAAGGGGTATGTGTGTGTGGGGGGGAGACATCGATTGGTTGCCTCCCGCATCACCCTGACCAGGACCAGGGACCGAACCGCAACCCAGTGCCCTCGACTGGAACTGAACCTGCAACTCATGGTCCGTGGGCTGACGCTCTAACTGCTGAGCCAAACCAGTCAGGGCTGCCCCTTCAAAAGGGTCATTTTAGGCAGTAAATTACAGTCACCTTAACTGTAAGAGATATAAACCCTAAGAATCCCATACCAGGCCCCACCCGAGGTTCCTCTACACTAACTCCCAGGACAAGCTGTGTCCCCTGTGCCATCATTCCCTCATGGTGACTTCTCCTGCTCCCCCCATTCCAACAGCCCCCCAAATCTCATTCTGCCCATGGACAGGACTGTGTGGTAAGAGCTGAGGATGGCCCTGCTGTAGGAAAACCACCAGCCTGTCGTCCACCACCAGGTGGGGTGTGCAGGGGGACGAGGCCACATGTCACAGTGCTGTGACATGTAAGTCTGACTTTTTTCCCTTGGAGCTTCTAGAACTGAAACTCCAGGGTTCCTCCCGTGCTGAACCGACTCAAGAGCTATTTTCTTGCTTCACTAGCACTGTGCTTTCCTTCCATGCTCACTTCAAAATGCACAGCAGAGAGTTCACTCCAAACCGAGAGCACTGTCCCAATTCCCCCAGGTCCCAGAAAAAGCCTCCTTGTAACCCGCTGGCCTGCCAGCTGCACCCACACTCCCGCCAGCGGGTCCTGTGGTTTGTAAGACACAAGGTGAGGTCAGGACCTGACACTGCAGCTCCTCCCCGCTCCGCGCCCCCTGAACAGCGCCAAATGCGGCCCAACAGAATGGTTTCCATAGAAAGGGGCCGGGCGCCGTGGAAACGGGAATCGAGCTGTCGGAGGGGTTCTTTGTTCCTCTCAAGTTCTCTCAAGTTCTTTCACCCTTTGCTTCCAGTCAGTTCCCCTGGTGATCTAGTCCCCACATTAACCTGTGAATGTCGGGTTTTTAGTTACTTAACCTTTAAAAAAAATTTTTTTTTTTTTATTGACATTAGAGAGAACATAGACTGGCCGTCTCCTGCATGCCCCCCACTGGGGATCAGGCCCACAACCTGGGCACGTGCCCTGACCGGGAATCGAACCAGCGACCTCTTGGTGCAGGGTTGACGCTCAACCACTGAGCCACATGGGTCCGGCTGGTTACTAAGCCTTTGACAATGACCTGTCCAACAAACCAAACTGACGCCCCCTAATCCAGTGATCACAGAGTCCACCTATGAACCAGCCCGTCTGCCCCGTACCTCTCTCATGTCGTTCACTTAGACAAGACTAACTTTTGTTCTTTTTTTGTTAATCCTCACCCAAGGATATTTTTTCCATTGATTCTCTGAGACAGAATGGAAGTGAGGGGTGGAGGTGGGGGAGAAAGAGAGATCGATGTGAGAGACACATCAACTGGTTGCCTCCCAAACACACTCCAACTAGAGTGAGGGATGAAACCTGCAAGCCAGGTACGTGCCTTTGACCGGGGATCAAACCCAGAACCCTTCGGTCCATGGGCCGACGCGCTAACCGCTGGGTCACTCTGGCCAGGGCTGACTTGTGCTCTTAGTGCAGGGAACACACAGCACAAGAGGAGCAAGAGCACTGACATGAGTCTGTGATATAAAGTTCAGAAAACAGAAAACCCCTATTCTGTAATATTTTACCTTCACAAAGTTATGAATATATTTAAAACAATTCTAAAGCAGAAAACCAAGCTAACTATGTGAAGAACTGCCACAAGTGGTTTAGAAGAGACAGAGCAGACGGCCTAGGCAGCCCCGGGCGCAGAAGCCACGAAGGGCCACGCTGGCCCAGCCGCGGAGGCGCCAGCACCCGGCCTGTCACCTGCGCGCCCGAGAGCATGAGACGAGGTGCTTACCTGCCCAGCCGTGTCTACGAGTTGGAGGTGATACTCTTGTCCATTCACTGTGAGCAGTTTTGTGAAAGCTGTGGGGAGGGAATCCGAGGTTAGTTACCAGACAGTGGACTTTGGGGCACGTAGAGCGTGAACAATGACAAGTAAGCGGAGTCCCTAATAATCTCCTAAAAAGGGTCCTCAAACAAAAAGGACAAATCTTGGAGTGTATAGGATCTTCCCTGCTCCCATTATTTAACCCACAACACCAGCTGACTAAAATTGAGACTGGCTGAACCGTGAACTTTCTCAAAGGATGGGAATCGGGCCTGGTGCGTGTCCTGTGAAGTCGCCTGGACGCCCCGCGTGCGGCGCCGTCCTGCGTGGAGAGTGCGATGTACACAGGCAGCCTGCCGCCCGCAGCGCCGGAAGCACAGCCCTCTCCCTAGTCACAGGAGGGCTGGTGTGGGGCAGAGCTACTGTCAACGGGCTGCCTCGGGCGCCCGCACGCAGCGCCGCCACCTCACTGGCAGACGAGACAGCGACGGGACAGATGCTCTCTGTGAAGCCATCGTTCCCACTCAGCCTAAGGATCCAAGCAATCTGTCACAACTTCTTTTCCCTACTAAGGGGGGAGAAATCAGATTCAAATAACTTCCGGAAAAGTCAATTCAGAATTTGGAGACAGACTTCAAGCAAATATAGACAAGAGGAAAGACTATTAATAGTCACCGACTATTACAAAGAACCATCCGGAGCCCCGACAAGCAAACGGACAGGTTCCTTGGCACAGAGGAGTCTGTGTCCTGGCTGCCCGCTGGACTCGACCAAGCCGGCCAGCAGTCTACCCTACGCACTGCTGCCCCTCCGCCGACGGAAAGAGAAGCAGACAGATGACAGTCTTGAGCCTGTGACAGGAGCAGCAGTCCGGGCAGCCACCCGGGAAGCGAGACCGCACGACTAGCTTCAGGCAACTGCCACTCGAGCGCGTCCTCGTGCCCCTCTGGACACCATCACTTAAAGAATTCCCAGAAAAAGTCTATGGTGTTTTCCCCACACCGCAACCTCTCTGAACTCGGGGTGCACCGTGCGACTGCCTTCCGCACAGCGGGCGGGGCATCACGAAGCAGCCGCCTCCCACTCCTTCCCTCAGATCAGGTGTGCGCCCGCCTGGATGAGTCTAGAAGAATCGCTGTGAGCAATAAAACAGCAGCCTTCACCTAGAACTAAGTCCTTGTGGTTATAAAGTATAATTATTACAAAAAGATCACCTACACAAAACACCCTGTGCTCACTCGACTCTCTCGAGCACCTGTCATTCTCACCACCAGGTGCCGGAGGCAGCGAAGTCCCTGACCGCAGCGAGCTGCCCCCTGCGAGGGAGGAGGGGACAGAGATGCACCCAGGCACCCTCTCTGAGGGGCACCAGGCAGAGGCGCGCAGCAGCGAGGCTGAGAGAGGAAGTGAGGGGCTCAGTGTGGCTGAGAACGGGGGTGGGGGCTGGGAGGACATGGCCAGAACTTCGAATTTCTAGTAACTGATGGGAAATCAAGAGTTCTGAACAGGGGAGTAACCTGATCCAATTCACATTTAATTTATTTATTTATCCTCACCAGAGACCACTTTTTGTATTTATCTTCAGATAGAGTGGGAAGGAGAGAGAGAAGACGACAGAGAGAGAAACATCGATGTGAGAGAGACACATTGAGTGGCTGCCACCCCCATGACCCCAACCAGGGCTGGGCACAAAGTGCCACCAAGGTACGTGCCCTGAGTGGGAACCGAACCTGGGCCTCTCTGGTCTGCGGGCCGACGCTCTAACCGCTGAGCCAAACCAGCCAGGGCCAATTCATATTTTAAAAGGATCACTCTGGTTACACTGTGAAAAGAAAAATGGACAAGGGACATGGGTGGGAGCCCACAGCAGTGGCCAGAGGGACAGAGATAGAGGTGTGAGACACGGGGAATTCTGGATACACTTCAAAGGCAGAACCAAAGGACTTTCCGACTGGCCTGCGCAACATGAGCTGCCAGTCACCAACGCAGGAAAGCCTGCGGGAGGGGCCCTGGGGACAGCATAGGAGGCACGGAGGGGCTGGTTTAGGTATGTTCGGTCTGAGAAGCCTATCAAGCACCCAAGGGGGCGTGAGGGCAGCTCAGTAAAAAAGCCCGGAGCTCAGGGAGAGGCTGGGCCGAGCTGCAGAGACAGGTGAACTCGAGGGAGAGTGCTGGGGAGCAAGGCAGGGCCTGAGCCCACGTGGAGGCCAGGGACTCCCCATGCTGTCAGGTGGGAAACATGGGAAACTCAGCCACGGAGACTGGGAAGTACTGGCTGGGAGGTAGAAATAAAAAGGCAGGAGGTGGAATTGTACACAAGATAGAACTGGAATTCATAAGGTGAGATCCATGTTACTTGACTCAAATAAACTCACAAAATTTTTCAAAAACGAAGAAGATCCACGTCACCGATGTGCACGGTGAACTCTTCACCCTGTCCCACTGGGCAGTCTGCCCACCACACAGGGCTTCATGAAACTCCCGATGCCAACTTCCCAATTTGCTGAGGAGCTTTAACTCAAAAGTCCACCTCGAGATGGCAGAAGCTGTGAGCTGCTGATATTCCTCTTCAAATGACCAACCACCACTCCGAGCCGTCAGAGCGCCGTGTCGGCACCTGCGCAAGCACGTTTGCTCAGGCAGTGCTACTGGTCCCAACATTCCCCAGACACCGAACTATGTGGTTTTATCGATGTTTTCTCCTTTACGTACGTTTTGAAAAGATGACATAGTCCCGGGATTTTTGCTTTGGCAGTGATACGACATATAAAGGGTCACCACCGACTGTTTGCTACACACACCCTGTTCTATATTGGAGTTAAGTGTAGAATAATTACTGGATCGTTTCCAGACTTGGAGTACTGGTCTCTAGAACCACAAAACCATCCATTCATTTATGCTGCTAGCAACAAGTTGACGACAACCATTCCATTCCTCTCTAATTCCTTATTGTCACTGGACAGTGTTTGTCTGCTAAACAGTGGGGGAAGGGTGAGGATGGGTTTCTGCCCTGCGCTACTGTCAGAAGCATGGGACACAGGGGGCGTCTGAACGTGCTCATGAACTTCAGGGACTCATATCCTCTGGTGCCCATTTCTGCTCTTGCTTAAAGACTTGAAATGAAGTCACCTCTGAGACTGAAAAAATATTAAACACTAAGTATTAGGTAGGAAAACATGAAAAACACAAGTAAAGAGGATGTTGACAGCCTCTGAAGTAGGGTCATCTGGTTCTGGTTCTGAGAAAACAGAACAAGGTCAAGAAGCTGGACTTTTGTCTGATCCATTACTCACATATAAAGAAACTGCATTTATATATAACACCATGACTTTCCTTCCAACTTAATTTTAAATACAAAGATACACAATTATAAAAATCACTTTTATAAGCAGAGCTTACCATGAAAACTATCTTATATTGTTCTTGGAATAAAATTCCCAAATGAGCCTATCTCTTTAAGGACACCACATTTTAAACTGCTATGTATAGCGAATATTTAGGCCAAGAGCAGGATTTTCTTGTGTTCCTATTCCAACAGAGACAGCCGGACTCGCTCACAGCAGTCACATTATTCCGTCCTCAAAAGCATGCTGTTCGGTGACAGCACAGGACCAACAGGACACCAGCGGGCTCCTCCTTCCAGACAAGGCAGAGCGGTTCCTTTCACACGTGTCTTCCCAGTTAGTTTAGCACCCGACGGGCCTCCTTCCCTGCTCCCAGCACACTGGGACATAGAGGACAGCTGGATATTTTAAGCCGGAGGTCAGTCAACTTCCTGGAAAGGGCCAGACAGTGAATATTTTAGGCCTTGTGGGCCAGATGATCTCTGCTGCAACTGTCCATCAATGCTGCATCGCAGGGAAAAGGCAGCCACAGACAATAGGTCCATGAGTGAGCATGGCTGTGTTCTAATAACATTTTATTTATCGACGTGGAAATCAGAATTTCATATCCCTTTCACATGTCACAAACATTATTCTCCTTTGGCCTCTTCTCAAATATTACAAATAGAAAAACCACCCTTAGCTCGTGGGCCGGTTTGGATGCAGGCCGAAATTTGTCAACGCTCCTGTTGAGAGTCTCTCTTTAAGTCTCTCTTGCAAGCTTTGGGCAGGTGAAGTCTTCGAATCTAGCTCTTCAAGTCTGTTAGGTGGGCTTCCTGTCTAATATGCCAATCAGGTTTCGACGAATCCCACATTTAAATCTGTATGTTCCTGGTGACAAATCCCAGGCCAGCCCTGGTGTCAACCATCTGAAAACACTGGTTCCAGGGGAGCTGGGGTTCTACGGTGGCCTGAAACAAGAACAGCTTCTAACAAGCAACTTCCCTGCATGAAGTGCCTCCAATCCTCCTCCATGATCCCAGAATCAAGACTTGGCTCAGGGTCCTAGAATCCTTCAGGGAGATTCTGAAACCACGGACTGAAACTGGACAAGGTTAAGGTGGTTGTCGATCTGGTCATGGGTGCTTTGGCTGCACATGGCCCGAGAAGTCAACAGGCCTTGTTCTAACGCCGCACCTGCTCGTCCAAGCCCAGCACGCTCACCTCTCCCAGACTCCTCAAGTCTTCAGCACTGAAGGGTCAGGCAGCAGAGCTTCCACGAGAGTAAGGTGCGAAGGACAGTTTGCATCCTTTCCCCTCCAGCTGAGAATCCCTAAAAAAGGGCTACTGTAGAGAGGAAGAAAATGGAAAAAAGCACTCTCTCTCTCTATCTTCCTAAAGCAGAGCCTGGAATACAGGTTCCAACAGAGGGCTCTGGATTCCGATGTCTGGCTGGCAGGATCTGGGGGTGGAATAGAAACCACGCACTGTAAGGCGGGTGCAGGTTTTGGAAGCTCTTCTGGCCCCAGTCAGTGATCTAACGAAGAGCCCTGCTATCAAAGCCTCCAAGACCACAGTGCTGTTTGTATGCAGAAGGCAGGCTTCTCAGTTTATAAATCCCTGAAAACGATACTTACTGTTCTCTATGGTTGGGTCGTAAGAGTCAACGAACTGGCCTTCAACAAACTGGATCGTCAACGAGGACTTCCCTGTAAAAGACAGAACGGCTCAGACCCGTGCATCAGCAACGCAAAACGTCTGACCAGCTATTTTACCGACCCCATGACAGATAAGAAACGGAAGGTACTGGTGTCCCCGAAACCTGGCCATTCATTTTATATATGGAAATTAATAAAACACGGTTAGTTTCTTTAGGCGTTTTTACATATGGCTGTTACAAGTGTTAACCAGGTACAGCTTTTGAAAGGGTAATCTGAAAAAAAAAAAAGGAAAGACAAAAGTCTTTATTTTAAAAACTCCGAGAAGGTAGAATCCCTGTGTCAATCATCCAGTGTCGAAGGCCCAGCATGTCCTGCACACAGTGGGGAAACAGACTCACAAAATCACTGTGATGACTGAGCCTGTGTCGCCAGGACCTGAGCCCCATGTGCTCACCCGGCCGTGTCATGTAAAAGTCCTACTGCAGGACATCAGAGCAGGGCTCCCTGGGAAGAAACAGGGCGAGAACGGAAACGGGAAGGGTTCCCCTTAATGCCACCCGGAGCCGTGCCCAAAGCCTGCAGGGAGGCCCGAGGACAGCGGTTGGCCGGCGGGTCCTGGACTCCTGCAGTTCCCAGTCCGCCCGTCTCCCTGAAGCCAGACAGGCGCAGTTCACGGGCACAGGGTGTCTGCACCAAAGGCAGCCCCTTCTACTAGAAATGTATCAAGTAATAAGCGGGTTTAAAAGTGGGAGCTGCTGGAGACAACTAGAAAATCCAAGTTGCCAGGCTTATTTACACCTCACGAGCAGCTAAACGCAAAGTTCACAAACCACTCTCCACAAAGCAGCCGCCAAGAACCCTGGAAAATTACACGGTACCTCCCCATTTAATATCCTCATTGTAATTAGAATGAATTCCCAGCTCTGGAGCCTGGCCCGCCGTGAGCATCGGACCCACCGCCCAGACCCCACCGGCTACTGCTCCCCAGTGCCTCCCAGGCTCCGGCCACATCCTCCGGCCCCTGCCAAGTTCCCACCAGCCTCAGTACCTTTATTAGAGCCACCCCCAGATCTCTGAAGATAGGACTCTTTAAAAAAATGTTTTCTTCTTTATTCATTTTAGAAAGAGAGGAAGGAGGCTGGGGGGAGAGAGAAACCTTGATGAAAGAGAACCACCTTGGCCGCCTTCTGCATGTGCCCTGACTGGGAATCAAACTGGTGACCTCTTGGTGCGTGGGTTGATGCTCAACCACTGAGCCACACTGGCCTAGCTATGACTCACTTTTGTCATCATTCTAGTCTGTGCTCAAATGTCCCTTCTTCAGAGAAGCCATTGCTAACACAAACCCATCTAGGGTGGTGCCTACTCCTTGACGTCACTCAGTCATCCCATTTTGTTTTATTTCTTTCAGTGCTTGAAGTTCTCCGAAATCACCTTCATTAATCAGGTTTGGAGACTCTGCAGATACTTGGTTTCTGAACAAATGAATGAAACTCAAACCAGACCCCCAAAGGGCACTCTCATCCATTCAGATACCACAAAGATCTCAATGTTATAACCGTGACTAGGAAACCGTTCAATAGAACTGACGAAACAACTGTCTAGTACTTACTGGTCCCCAAGGGTGGGCCTGCCTGAGACACCGAGTACAGTTGTCCAGGAACTGCACGCATTTCAAAAAAACCAGGTTACGTAAGCCAGCACATAAAGACGCATTTAGCTCAAAATATAGAGCCCTTTTATGTAATGAAAATAGCAATAAAAAAACCCTTTTATGTTAGCAAAACTGAAAAATCCTAAAGAATAATAAAATTCTTATTTATATCAAATGCTAGTGCTTGAAGCAAAAGATGTTTAATCAGGAAGAGGAGAAAATAACCTCCAGGGGCTTCTGAAGACTACTTGCAGGCGCTCTGGGGGGCTCTTGATTCCTTTAGGTAGGATGTGTTTTTTTGTGTGTTTTGCTTACAAATGGAGGGAAGAAAAGAAAGAAGATAATTTATTTCCTAAAGATAAATGGACAAGAGTTACAAAGGTAAAAAAAAAGGAATCAAAAATTTTTTTGTAACTTTTTGGAAGCAGAACTGGACTAAACCCAGGAAAGCACAAGCATGACGCGCGTGTGCGCGAGTGCCCCCCGATGACCCCCACAGTGCAGGGAAACCAGCAGAAAGAGCAGCCCCAGGAGTCCGCACAAGAAATTTAGGGAGCCCCTACCAAACTGAAGAGAAAGTCATACATACTAAACAGGACAGCATGAGATAAATGATCACAGCCAACAAGTGCACCACACTGCATTTTTTCATTTTCTTACTTATTTATTTATTTATTTATTTATTTATTTATTTATTTATTCCTCACCCGAGGACATTTTTCCATTTTTTTGTTCAGGTAGAGTGGGAGGGAGAGAGAGAGAGAAACTTCGACGTGAAAGGGACACATCGAGTGGCTGCCACCCTCACGACCGACCAGGGCCGGGGACAAACTGCAACCGAGGTACATGCCCTTAGCGGGAACCGAACCCCGGTCTCTCTGGACCGCAGGCCGACGCTCTAACCGCTGAGCCAAACTGGCCAAGGCTTCATTTTCTTTTCTTCATTGACTTTTTCGAGAGAAGAAGGGAGAGGGAGAGAGACAGAAACAGCGACGAGAGAACATCGATAGGCCGCCTCCTGCACACCCCACTGGGGATCTCGCCCACAACCTGGGCATATGCCCTGACTGGGAATCGAACCCGTAACCTCTTGGTACGTGGGTCAACCCTCAACCACTGAGCCACACTGGCCGGGCACAAGTGGGCCACATTTAAAAAATACACTTGTTGCCCTGGCCAGTTTGGCTCAGTGGTTAGAGCGTCGGCCTGCGGTCCGGAGAGACCCGGGTTCAGTTCCCGCTAAGGGCACGTACTTCGGTTGCAGTTTGTCCCCGGCCCTGGTTGGTCGTGCGGGTGGCAGCCACTCGATGTGTCCCTTCACGTCGATGTTTCTGTCTGTCTCTCCCTTCCTCTCCCTCCCTCCCACTCTATCTGTACAAAAAATGGAAAAATATCCTCGGGTGAGGATTAAAAAAAAAAAAAAAAAAAAATACACTTGTTGCCCTGGCGGTTTGGCTCAGCAGTTAGAGCGTCGGCCCGCGGACCAGAGAGACCCAGGTTCGGTTCCGGCCAAGGGCACGTACCTCAGTTGCGGGTCCTCAGCTCCAGTTGTGCGGGAGGCAACCAGTCAATGTTTCTCTCTCACATTCATGTTTCTCTCTCTCTCTGTTTCTCCCTCCCGTTCTATCTGAAGATAAACAGAAAAATATCCTCAGGTGAGGATTTAAACAAAGAAGAAATATACTTTCTGGTACAATCCAAGGAGAGCCCCTCATCTGTATCACAGAGGGCACACATTACTGACGGGATAAAGTCACGTTTACTTCGAAAACACTGGCAATCACTCCGGCAAAGCAGACCCGCAATCCCGCTGGAACCCCAGCCCTCAGGGACAGCTGATCCCTCAACCAGGCAGCCCTGGAGAAGGCGCTAATTCATTAGCAGGAGCGGGGCTGCGAAAACACTAGGCCTCCCTTGGGTCTCTCCTGCGCTGGGCTCTCCCTTCCGGGGAGATCATTAATTATTTAAATTAAGAAGGGACAGGAAGGCTACGTTTGCTGCTATGACAGTGGTTTTCAGCTGTTTCCATCAAAAGCAGAATTTTTAGGCAACTACTGTTGAATGCGTTACAAGTCAGCACTAAGTGACAATTAATTTTAGTAAATAATTCCCACTGCTCATAGTGTTCTCAGGTTTGGTTCTAGTAATTTCTGGCTTTAGGGGAGCCCTCCTCCCCCAAAGCAGTAATTTGGTTCCTTTGGCTAAGTTTCCCAATGCTGTTTGCTTACAGCTACGAAGGCCTTATTGACCTACAGCAAATTATATTCTTCACTTGATCACCTTTGCAGTTTCCCCTCATAATAACCTCCTACATCTACTTGGGCCTGTGTCCTTGTCAAACTCACATTCTGGAACACCAATTATTCCCTGAAGATGCCTCAGCCTCACTGGTGTTCTCAGGCTCACAGGTGTGTATCACCTGGGGGAGGATCTCAAACTCCCGACCACGCTCAGAACTGTCATGTGCCAACAACTCGGGAGTGAGCTGAAGGACATGAAAGGCGGCACATACCCAGAAGTGTGTTTGGCACAGAGACAAGCCCCTCACCTGATGGCATTATACATTATTATGAAAGGGTTGAGAATAATATATCCCAGCATCCCACAATAATTTCCAAATACTCGTTCTCCGAACCAAAATCCACCTTAACTTTAAAAAACAGAAAATCTATTTCTAAAAAGTTCCATCTAAAATACACCAGGTAGAAACAGCATGGTACAAATATTTTACAATGACAATATGGTACAGTAAGTTTTTTCACCCAATATTTTCACTACAGAATATATACTTTCAAGGTTGCTGACTAAGTCTTTTATTTCATGATCACTGCAAAATAGGTACTGTTTACACAAAACACTTTAATAGTTTTCAGATGAATTCTGAACTAGTTCTCATGCTTATTCTCCTAAAAAAATAACTATTTGTGCATTACCTCCCTCCCGCTCAAACCCACCCCTGGAACAGCCGACTTGCGCCTTGTGCACTGGGATGTAACAGGGAGGAGCGTGTTTCAATCCACCAACTAGTCCATCAAGTCACTGGGCAGAAGGGTCCATGAGGACCACGTGATGTATCTGGGACACAACACATCCCAAGGACTGCTTATATTTTCACCTCAAATTCTTCACATCACCTTCAGAACCAGTCTGATGTCCTACCAGTTTGGCTTCAGCTCACCGGTCTTGCCACCAGTCTGTCCCCACACTGCCTCAGGAGCACACCACAACATGGTCACCGCCCAGGCGAGCCCACCTCCAAAACCTGCACCTGCCACGTACCAATCAGGAAGCAGGGCAGCGCCCTGCCAGCCCCGCCCTTTCTGACTGCACATCTAACCTGGACATCTCTGGAAGCCACGTTTCCCACCGGGCATGAAATCCACACTGTGCTGCA